TTCTGGACTGGAAAGGATACGGTATCAACATCAATGGCGAGTACATCACTCACCTTCGATTTGCCGACGATATAGTCCTTATGGCAGAATCGCTGGAGGACCTAAGCACTATGCTCAATGACCTCGATAGTGTTTCCCAACGGATAGGCCTTAAGATAAACATGGACAAAACAAAGATCATGTTCAATGTCCATGTCACACCTATGCCGGTAGTTGTTGGGAGCACTAAGCTCGAAGTTGTTGACGAGTATGTTTACCTGGGACAAATAGTCCGACTAGGTAAGTCCAACTTCGACCGAGAGGTCAATCGACGGATTCAACTCGGCTGGGCAGCGTTCGGGAAGCTACGACACATCTTCTCGTCAGACATACCTCAAAACCTGAAAACGAAATTGTACAACCAGTGCGTGTTGCCAGTGATGACTTATGGAACTGAGACGTGGTCCTTCACTGCTGGCCGTATGAGGAAGCTCAAGGTCGCTCAGCGAGCTATGGAGAGGGCTATGCTCGGAGTGTCTCTGCGTGATAAACTTAGGAATGAGGATATCCGCAGTAGAACCAGAGTAACCGACATTGCCCAACGGATTAGTAAGCTGAAGTGGCAATGGGCCGGCCATATAGCTCGAAGAACCGACAACCGATGGGGAAGAAAGGTTCTCGAGTGGCAGCCTCGTACCGGTAGGCGAAGTGTAGGGAGTAGTGTAGTTGTACCACTTCTAGACCACCTGAGTCAGACGTGGTTCAACGACGTTCGTCGACGCCCGATCCAAAAAAAAAAAAAAAAAAAAGGTGGCCAAACGACCGTACACTAACTCGATGAGTGCGTTTGTTGGTCTTATATACCACCAGTACGTAAAAATTCTAATCTAAAGTATTTCCGTAATGAGTTGATAATTACTTTATGCGTCAACCAGTTTATCTCACATTTCCGTTGCCTATCTCAACATTTCTTCGTATTGTGTTTTGTTTGGTGATCAAATTTTGTAACAAATTTCATAAAATCAGTTACAGAAATATGTAATTGTGATTTTAATCAGATCACATGGTGCTTTGATGAAATGCAACCATTATATAATTTACCAAATGTTAACTATCATCAAGGAATTCCAAATCTTAATATGTTTGATGGTGAAAACCCACATCTTGTTATTATTGATGATCTAATGACAGAGTCCGATGGAAGAATTGTGGATATATTTACAAAAGGTAGTCATCACAGGAATCTTAGTGTATTTTATCTAACACAAAATTTATTTCATCAGGGTAAAGGACAAAGAGACATATCTTTAAAACTCAAGTTATATAATATATTTTAAAAACCCTCGAGATAAAACTCAAATAAGATATTTAGCAAGACAAGTATCACCAGATAACCCAAAATTCATTGAAAATGCCTACAGGGATGCAACTCTAGAGGCGCATGGATATTTAATGGTAGATTTAAAACAGAATACCAATGATTTTTGTCGTATCAAGACAAATGTCTTTCCATTTAATGGTTTCTGTACAGTCTACGTCCCCACAAAAGAGTTTAAATACACCAAGAATCAAACAATTGAAATCATTGCTAAATGATGCATCGTCGACTCACAACGTATAAACATTTGCTAACCGCTTTGCATACGCTTAAACCAAAATATCAAAGAGCATTACTTAAAACGTGTGATGAAGAAGAAATTAACTGTATTTGTGAGTGTATTCATAACGTTTTACAAGGAAAAGTACCTCTTAAAGATCAGGATAAACAAAAATTGAATAAACATAAAAACATACTCCGTAAACTAGTACGTAAGTGTAAACATAAACTAAGAAAAAATATAATTATACAAAAAGGAGGGGCTTTCTTACCAACAATATTAGGTGCAATATTGAGTGGATTAGTGAGTGGACTAGCCAGTTAACATGGAAAATGCAAAGAAAATGATACTTATCGAACCTGGATTGATTGAAAAATTAAAACAAGAAAATAAGGTTAATAGTAATTTATCTCGATTAGATATTGAAATGCAAAATATTATGAATAGTAAGACGGAAGACCGAAAGAAATGGATATTATATTTACAAACACTGCAAAGATACCTTCATTTTACCGAAGAGGATCGTCAACCACTCAAATTACCAATTTATTCTGATACATCTAATGAAGATTCAAATGAGTCAAAAATTGGTTTTAAAAATAAAGATAGAGATCTAAAAACTTCAGTTGATATTGAATCTTTGCTGGAGGAGAATCGATCCATTAAAAGTAAAGAAAATGATGAAAATCCACTTTACACACCAGCTCAAATACTCAGTTTAATACCAAAAACTTATCATAAAAAAGGGCAGTTATTATTAAACTTAGTTGAAACAAGTAAAAGTAAAATACATTGGGATAACGAAGGTACAGTCATAATTGATAGTGAAAAAATTCCTGGAAGTAATATTGTTGATTTAATAAATGATTCACTAAGACCCCTAAAAAGAAGTGATCCGGTAGGGTGGGTTAGATTTGCTGAAGCATTAAAAGATATTAAAGTACCACTTACTTATATTGGAAATCCAAGGAGATGTGAGTTTATTAACCAACTTCAAGCAAAAGATCTGAACAAACCCTCTGAGATTGAAGTTCAAGAGTTTTCTACACCGTGCAGTAGAGATAAAAAGTCTACAACTAAAATACGTAAAGGACTTGAGTGGGAAAAATGGACTCCGTACTAGAAGAAATTAACAGGATTTATTATGATCCATCTAATCCCGCTGGTTTTGGTAGTATTGATAAATTATCAAAAGCCATGAAGGGTAAAATGAATAAAAAGCAAGTAAAGGAATGGTTAAAATCACAAGAAACATACACATTACATAAACCCATTCGAAAAAAATTCCCGCGTAATAGGTACATTCTATCAAATATTAATGAACTGTGGCAAGCTGATTTAAGTGATATGCGAACTTATTCTCAATATAATGATGGTTTCAAGTATATACTTTGTATTATTGATGTATTTAGTAAATATGCTTTTGCAAGACCAATGAAAAAGAAAAACTCAGAAACAACTAAAGAATGTTTTGAAAGTATATTTACTGAAAGTAATTTAACACCTACTCACATACAATCCGATAAAGGTACAGAATTTGTTTCAAAAGATGTACAAAAATACTTTAAATCCAAAAAGATTAATTACTATACCACTAACAATCCTGACATTAAGGCCAGTATTGTTGAACGATTTCAAAGAACACTAAAAATGAAAATGTGGCGTTATTTCACTCATAATAATACTTATAGATATATAGATGTTTTACAAGATTTAATATACTCTTATAATCACAGCTTTCACTCTAGTATTAAGATGTGCCCATGTGATGTAAATTCCAACAATATTATGACAGTTTGGACTAATCTTTATGATAGACGGTCAAAAAAACTTTCTTTAGAAAATCCTAAACCAAATTTCAATGTGGGTGATTATGTTCGAATAACTAAATATAAACATGTATTCCAAAAAGGATATGAATCAAATTGGAGTGATGAAATATTTATTATATCTTCAATAATTGATAGATCTCCATGGGTTGTTTATACAATAACAGATTTACAAAATGAACCAATAATTGGTACTTTTTATGAAAGAGAATTACAGAAAATCACTTACAACCCCACCTCACAACATAAAATAGATAAAATAATTGACACTCGTTATTCAAGTAACAGAAAAGAAGTATTAGTGAAGTGGAAAGGTTATCCAGATAAATTTAACAGTTGGATTTTAGCTTCTAGTTTAAAAGAAATATGAATAAAGAAAGTTTCTATTTAACTTTGCTCAGCAATAGTTCAATGGAATACTTTCCTGATAACAAGACCACAAATTTTTCAACGAAATTACCAAAAGCTATAAAATTAGAAGGTGAATGGTCGGTTGGAGTTGTCGAGTTTCAATATCCATGTACCATGTTTACTGTTCAAGACCATGAAAATGTTATATACATTACAAAATCTATGTTAATGCCTAATGAAGATAAGCCATCCACAGTGTACTACAAAAAACATATTCCAGCTACCAACTATGATAACGTTGAGCATATTTTAAGAGTGTTAAATGGTATCGGAGAGAACTTGAAATTTCGCTATGATGAAATAACAAAATTTGTGTCTATTTCGGTATTGGATAAAAATATAACATCCGTAACATTATCACCCAAATTAAGTTTACAGCTAGGTTATGAACCAAATAAAAATCTCCTAGAGAGAAATTTTGGAAAGTGTCCTGCTAATTTACACTTAGGGTTACCATCTCAACTATTTCTATATTGCGACATTATCGATCCTCAGATTGTGGGTGATGTTATGACTCCTTTATTAAGAGTCATTTCATTAGATCCTACAAAATACATTTATGGTGCAAATAAAATGCACGTTTTCTCTCAACCTCACTACTTACCTGTTATGCGAAGAGAGTTCGATACGTTGGAAATAGTTATAAGATCGAGTACAGGACAAAAAATACCATTCCAGTTTGGAACCGTGTGTATTAAACTACATTTCCGAAAATTATAATAATGAATTCTCTTCGTGATCATCATAAATGTCCATATGAAAATTATTATACACATCAAGCTGGATCAGGAGTTGGAGTAATTTATAAGGGTTCACCATATCAACGCGGTCATGGTATTGGGAGCTTCTTAGGGGGGTTATTCAGATCAGTTTTACCTTTACTTTCAAGTGGTGCTCGAGTGATTGGTAAGGAGGCATTAAGCGCTGGAGTAGGACTTTTATCGGATATGGTTCAAGCCCGTCCTATGGAAGCCTCAATAAAAGATCGTCTAAAGCAAGTTAGTACGAATTTAAAACGAAAGGCTGATGAGAAAATTGATCAATTTAACATGACTGGATCTGGGTATAAAACTAAAAGAAAACGATTGACATCGTTCATTCTACCATTAACTGCTAAAGTGAAAGCTGCGAAAAAACTTAGTCTAAAACCAAAAAATATCAAAGATATATTTTCAAACTAAATATGTCTTTCCTTCATAATCATTCTTGCGAGTGCGTTAAGTCAGAATTGGATTTGTTTGCACTACCGTCTACACAAACTAGCATTGAAAATGGATTGTGGATTCATTATAAACCAATTTCATCTCTTGGTGATGATGGACCTATCGAGTTTCAAGTTCCTGGGACCGGCGATGACTACATAGATTTGTCTCATACATTACTCCACATAAAGGCAAAAGTATTAAATCAAGATTCAACTAACTTGGTATCTACTACAATAGTAGCACCTGTAAATAATTGGCTGCATTCACTTTTTAGTCAACTTGATGTTTATTTAAACCAAAAACTTGTATCACCACCTAATAATATCTATGCATATCGAGCATACATGGAAACCCTTTTAAACTATGCCCCTGCTGCTAAACAATCTCATCTTACTTGTAGTCTTTGGTATGAGGATACAGCAGGAAAAATGGATTCTGCAGATGGTAAAAACATAGGATTTGTTAAAAGACAGGAATTGATTAGTGAAAGTAAGGAAATAGAAATGATTGGTCATCTTCACGGTGACATTTTTAACCAAGATAAATTTTTAATTAATGGTGTTGAAATGAGTGTTAAATTGGTTCGATCAAGAGAGAGTTTTAATTTAATTGTTGGGTCAAACGATGTAAAGTTTAAAGTTTGCATTACGGACGCAACTCTTATTGTTCGACGAGCACGAATTAATCCAAGTGTATTACTCGCACATCAAAAAGTTTTAGCTTCTACCACTGCTAAATATCCTATTACTCGAGCTGAAGTAAAAGTTTTAACAATTCCTTCGGGTGTTCAAGGAAAAACTCTTGATAATATATTTTTAGGACAGGTACCGAAAAGATGTATAATTGGATTTGTGAACAATTCTGCATTTAATGGTTCCCTTACTAAAAATCCATTTAACTTTGAAAACTATGGTATTAATTCTTTCAGCTTATATATTGATGGTCAACAAATACCTTCAAAAGCTTTGCAACCATCTTTTAATAATAGCATATTTACATCAGCATATCATACTCTATTCTCGGGAACTGGTATTCACTTTCTTAATGAAGGAAATGGAATCTCTTGTGAACAGTATGGCAAAGGTTACTGTCTATTAGCATTTGACTTAACTCCTGATTTATCAGCTAACTCATCAACTCATTGGAATCTCATAAAGCATGGTAGTGTAAGAATAGAAGTACGATTTGAATCCTCATTAATACAAACAATTAACTGTATAGTTTATGCTGAGTTTGATAATATTATTGAGATAGATAAAAACAGAAATGTTACTGTAGACTATAGTAGTTAAGGTTATAATATGTGTTGTGTGTTAGATTTTATGTGTTATGTGTAATGCATTTTGTGTGTATGTAACTATGTGAAACGTTATAAAATTAAATAAAACAAATTGTATGCAATATATTTTTTTTATTTCTTTATAAATCTTCTATTTAATCTAATACAAAACACTGTTCGAGTTGAAATTTTACATAAGCACACTGACTAAACCACTGAACATGCTGCTGCCAAGGATCATCATCATCTTCCCAATCTTTTAAACCACCACCACAATGGAAACACTTGGTCCCGTCTGCATGGCCAGTATAAAAGAAACCAGCTTCTGCAAGATCTTCAGGTTTCTGTCGCATAACGAGAGGCCAGTTTTCGAAACTAAGCAAACGGCTAGATTTTGAACTGAAGAATGGATATTCAGCTCTTGAGTACTGCATACTCTTCTCGTTTTCTTCTCCACTCAGTGTTGTAGTTTTGTTATTCAATGATGTGTTTTGTACACGTAAGCCACACTCATCTCTTCCTTCCGCTCTTGTCTTCCTGTAATTGAAGTAAACAGAATCACATTCACTAATGATCAGCTAATGACTGTCATTGTTAAAAAAGTATTTTTTAACTTTTTCACTTTCTGCTATTGTCTTTGTTATATTGTATACGAGGGCGTTTGTGTTGTCGTAGATGCTATCCTTATTAGTCTTTACGTAATATTTAATTCTCGTGGAAGCATGTTTCCAATGATCAGTAGTTGGAATCTTGGATAGCTTCTTCATATCGTACATTTCAATTTTGATGAGATGCGTCGCTTGGTCTCCGTCGTCAGAATTAGTAGAAATGTATGATACACCATCTCTAGCGGCTCGTGCTACGGTTGATGATAACAGCTTCCTCTTTTTTATTTTTGATTCAGCTTCAAAAAAATGATCAATCGATTGCGATTTTCTTTTTCCACCATCGCATGTGTTATTATTAATGACTAGGTTATCACTCTCTTCTTGAGGGGAGAGTGGCGAGTAGTAATACTGTTTATAGGTATCTTCATCGAAGCTCAATGATTTCTGCAACAACACAGTTATCATGTTAATATCAATTTGTTAACACTTAATCATAAAAGTTAAAAAAGTTAAAGTTACAGCCTATTAAAGTCCACTGCTGAACATAGGCCTCCTCTCATTTCTGAGAGGGTTTTAGAGCAAGGAAATGTCCGCCGCGCTCCCTCAATGTGTGTTGGCGAACTTCACATGCCTTCGAAATTTTCTCAGACATGCAGGTTTCCTCACGATGTTTTCCTTCACCACCAAGCACGTGGTAATAAGCACTTAAAATTGCTATTAACAATTTAATTGGTGCTGGCGGGGATCGAACCCGGGTCGCGTACTGTGAAATTTACAGCTAGCGCTAACCATCTGAGTTACCACGGCTTAATCATATACATACACAATATTTAAATAAAATAATACACACACATGAAAATAACAGAAAAAAAGTAATTTAGTCAATAGAATAAACACTTACATCCATAGCCTTTGGTGTATTGAAGTAACACAAATGTACTATTGATAGATCCACTGTAGCCAAACGACCGTACACTAACTCGATGAGTGCGTTTGTTGGTCTTATATACCACCAGTACGTAAAAATTCTAATCTAAAGTATTTCCGTAATGAGTTGATAATTACTTTATGCGTCAACCAGTTTATCTCACATTTCCGTTGCCTATCTCAACATTTCTTCGTATTGTGTTTTGTTTGGTGATCAATGACTCAAGTACGATTTGTATAACACAAAAATGCAATTTAATATTTAGAAACATATCAGTTTATCTCGCATTTCCGTTGCCTATCTCAACATTTCTTCGTATTGTGTTTTGTTTGGTGATCAATGACTCAAGTACGATTTGTATATCACAAAAATGCAATTTAATATGTAGAAATCACTATAATTGACCATTCCTATGTTATTCATTGAGTAGCTAGGTACTGTAATAATCTACTAATAGCAGTAATATCATGGATACACTAGATGTACAACAACATCTGAAAAAGATTCACCCCAGTCTAGAAAATAATGTTTATGCAGCTAATAGACTGCCTATGTATACCCACGTACCAACGTATATAATATGTAATTTGGATACAGATGATAAACCAGGGTCACATTGGGTAGCTTTATATATCGATACGAATGACGTCGGTCAATATTTTGATTCATATGGACGATCACCTGTACGATATCATCTAGAGTTTTTAAAAAGGAATTGTAAAAGATGGAACTGGAATGTTGATAGGATTCAGAATGAGTGGACTTCAGTTTGTGGCGAATATTGCTTAATGTATTTGCTATACAAGTTTCAAGGATGTTCAATACATAGTTTTACGAGTATATTTACAAGGAACACATTGTACAACGATATTTTAGTGGATGAGATGTTTCGCTCCTATTTTATAGATAATAATTAATAAGATTTTGTATTTTATAAATAAAAATTGTAACAAAATTATGTAATGTGTTTTATTGATGATTCAGATTAGCGTTGTATAAACAAAGAATTATAATACAATAGCACTGATATAGTCGACGCACACGCTGCAATGAAGGTGATTAAGGAACAATAGAACAATAGAAATAGGAACAATGGGACGCTAATGACGGTGGAGGCCCTTACCGGATATCAATTAGATATTAGCTAATTGATCTACACATCTCCGGAACCGTGCATTCTACACAAAAATGGACCGCGGATTCGTGATCAGATTTTTTTTTTTTTTTTTTTAGGATCGGGCGTCGACGAACGTCGTTGAACCACGTCTGACTCAGGTGGTCTAGAAGTGGTACAACTACACTACTGTAGGGCGTCCCCCCACGAGATGGAGTGACGACCTGGTAAGACATGCAGGAAGTCGATGGATGCAGGTGGCTCAGGACCGTGCTTTGTGGCATTCTTTGGGGGAGGCCTATGTTCAGCAGTGGACTTGTGAAGGGCTGTAATGATGAATGATGATGACCTCGTAATAGAAAATATTACGCGGACGGAACAAATCATATTATTATGTGGCATTTAGGAAATTATTTCATTCTTTTTTGTTTTAGAAATGTTATAAAAAGCTAATTTATAAAAATGTTACGGACTTACCTTACCCTTTTGAGTGGAACTAAGGATCTAACGATCTCAATGTAGTCTAAATTCCTCTATTTCACCAGCCTTATGGCCAAATACTCAAACGCTTTTTTTTTATAAGATAAGGGTGACAAACGAGCATACAGTCCACCTGATGGTAAGTGGTTGCTGCGGCCCATAGAAATCTATCTACATCTATCCTCGTTTGCGAATCAAAATGCAGATGCGTTGTCACCCATGAGGACTAAGATGGAATGCCTCATTTCCAGTAAAAAGGGCCTCCAGCCACCTGCACTCTCCAAGCGAAACGCAGAGGTAAACCTCTACTTCACGCTAGTATTCTGTGAGGTCGTGGTACTACCCCGGTTCGAGCCGGCCCATCCGTGCGACAGCAAAAGCTGCCGCGTGGCTCTACCATTGTTAGGATTTTTAATTTTAAGATGTTAAATACTCGTGGTGTCACAGTCACTTTAAGGTGGAAGCGCCAGGGTAGCCCGCGAAATTCAAATATTCTTACGTTTTTTGCAATTTGCAGGTCAGTGTCAGGTTGTATGTTTAACAAAATATAATTCGCGACCGTAACGAGTATGTATTTACAGAATTATAATCATTATAATCATCAATACAACCGTCTATGTTCGTATAATTCCAATGTATGACTATTTCCAGAAAAACTCATTTAAAGGGATTATATGAACTTGGAGGGTTGTATTGGTGATTTTAATGTTAATAATATTATAAACACATACTCGTTACGGTCGCGAATCATATTTTATTAAACATTCTACCTGACCCTGATCTGCAAATCCCAAAAAACGCAAGAAAATTTGAATTTCGCCGGGCCACCCTGGAGCTTTTTCACCTTAACTTAGTGATAGAGACAGCACATAACGGCATCTTAAAATTGAGTAGCGTTTGAGTACTTGGGCATTATAAGTAAAAATTTATGAAATTTATATGGAACCACACCTAAGATATAACCTATTTAATAAAAAAGAATCATCAAAATCGGTTGATAATTGACAAAGATATCGCGTAACACATACAAAAAAAACATACAGCTGAATTTAGAAACTTTCGCTTTTTCGAAGTTGGCTAAAAATGTCACTTACCAATCATTTTAATACTCAAGATTCATGATAAACTTCTCTGTAAAATAAATATAAATAGAAACTATAAATAATTCAGATAAGAGCTTATAAACTTTTAAAAATAAGAAGCCGATACCTCCGCGGTAGGCGTGCTGCCGCCGGCACAACGCTACGGCCTTGAACCCACGACCCCTCGATTGTTTATCTTACTGACTCACACGTTTACAGCACTTCGCAAATCATGTTGGAATGCTAATTCGTCGAATCTGATTTTACTAAACGAGAAACAAGAAGTGGTTCATCCGATTGTATTTTCTCAACTGCAATATCTGCAAATTTTCTGCCAACTTCCAAACAGGAGACGGTATTCAATTCGACTGTATGTTTTTTTTATGTGTGTTACCTCATAACTTTTTACTGGGTGAACCGATTTCGATAATTCTTTTTTTTATTTGAAAGCTGGTACTTCTCGTGTGGTTCCATATGAATTTGACTAAGGTCAGACTTCAGGGTCAGACCAATAGTTTTTGAGTTATTCTTAATAACTTATATTGAAGTCGGCTGTACAAAATTTTTAATTTTTAATTATTATTATATGAATGAAATTTAATAAGTATAAATTCATAATATATTTTGCACCAAATTTTTTCATGCTGCCGATTGATGACGTATCTTGACTGTAGAAGATTAAGCTATTAAGGGTGTCTATCTATAAATTAACCTATAATCTCATTAATTTCCGACGATACAAAACTAAAATAACATAACCAACCGTTAATGGTTCAAAACCTATACTACCTTTTCGATAAG